TTAGAACAGAGGTGGATCAGTGACAAAATTCTTGCTTTCCACAAGGGAGACCAGGGTTCAAGATTTGGCCTATGCCCTCCACACAGTTACCATCCATCTGTCATCACAGGCTTATGTGTTGCTATGATGCTGAACAGATTTCAATGGAATGTCCAGAGCAAGGCAGAGTAAGGAAGAAAGGCCTGGCTATCTACTTCCAAGTATCAGCCAATGAAAACCCTATGGATCACAGCAGTCTGTGATAGGGAAGCACAGGACAGAGCTTTTGTTTGTTCTCACTGTCCATGAGTCAAGGGCCCACTTGATAGCATTTCACAGTAGACAGAAGTGAGTGCAGCTAGCTGCACAAGGATAGCTCCTGGAAAACAATGAGAAATGGCATCCTTGCCAAGGTGAGTCACCGAAGTTCAGAATTTTAAGAACACCTAAAAGGACAAACGCTGTATAAAACCTCTGGTTTTTTGTTGGTTTGTTGTTGTTGTCCAATCAACTAGAGAAAGATTTACATGCAGAGAGAATCAATCTAGTCTGTTATGTGAGGCAGGGGAGAAGAGGATGAGTGGATAAACAATGAACACTCTATTGGAATAGGTAAAGGGAAGAACAATGTGGAACAAATGGATGATCACACGTTCTCGGTACTATAATTACACTATGGAATACAATATATATGATTGACTCTTTAGAAAGCTAAGGAAGGGTTTACCCACAGAATCAGTCTTAGAGTGTTAACAAGGAAGAGATGGGAGGGAGGGGGGAGCAAAAATAATAAACAAATAGGTTGGGTGAAGGCAATTACAATAGGGGTTTGATGAGACAGTAAATAAGTGCATTCATCAACTGTAATTAATGGCATAGAGCAAAACGGATACAAATGAATGCAGACAATTTTTTTTAAATCATCTAGCCTACATCATGCTCCCTACTCCCAGTTTTAGACATAAGGAGGCTGAGACATGGAGGGTGTAAAGTGGATAAATGAACAACAGCCTGCAGACTGTACAACCCATTAGTGGCTGAGCCAGACCCCTGGCACCTGGGCTCTAAATTCTCTCATGCCCGGGCCCCCACCATTTGGCTTCATCTTAAAATGTCTAGTTTGTAGTGAAAATGCATTTTCATTCATACCCACAAAGATGAAGATGTATTTTCAAGCGCATGCCATTTCCTAAGCTCCAGGGGAAATGAGAAGTACTGGAAAGTTGATCTATGCTGTGCCAAACACCAAGGCCTTCTTTGCTCAAGTGCTTTTCAGAGCCTACACATTATCATGGGGATACCCTGAGCTTAGGGTGTCTCCCAGACATCATGCCAAAGCTTCCTTCCCATCTATACACTTCTCCAAATATTATACTGTCATTACCTTGTTTCAGAAGTCATGGAAGTGTTTCTGCACAGAACACAACCTCAACCACCTCAGCAAACAGGCCAGGAGAAATGTTTACCACTCCTAATTGGCTGTTACATGACATTTATTTGCTTTCACAGTGTGCCAAGGACCTAGAAACATGTCATTGATTAATAAACAGTAATTAAGTGTTACCACCTAATTCAGAGATATGGTTAGCATATCCTTTCAAAGAAGGATAAACTAACTGTAGCCGCTCATGGGTTAAAAGGTTTTTTCTGAAGTCTGACTCAGAGAGGCATTAAAATACTATGTCCAAACCTCAAATACTGATCCTTTCACTGACAACTCCTTTTCCCTCCTCAATCTCTTTTCCTACCTCTGAGCCAACCTTCACTCTCATTTGGCCCCCATGGTCCACCAAGGTCCCTCTAATCACACCAACTAAGCACTCAGCTTTGAACATTTAATGTTCTGCATCTCAATAAGGCAGCTAAATATCAGATTACAAAATGTGGTAAAGTGAGGGCTCCTCTGGCCTCTAAAATACTTTCTTTTAAAAGCATCTTAACACTGTGAGCTGATAGTCTTGTTTCTAGCAGGGCTTTCCTGCCTGAGAATCTTAAAGACATATGATGAAGGTGTGACAAACAAAATTAATGAAACTGTAGAGTATTTTGGAAATGAACTCCAGTCGTAACTGCAGATGCCTTTGTCTTACACTAGGTTTCATTACAAACAAGAGAAAAGCTTAGACTCAAAATTCACACAAAATGACTAGAAGTGGCTTCCATATTTAGATCCAGGCCAAGGCCCCTGACTTAGTGCTGGATAAAGCAGGCATCCTGAACTTAGGACCACTTCTAGAAAAGTCAGGGAGACAAAGTGATGGGATAATGCAAAAATCATTTATGGTTAGCTTTCAAATACATATTTATATGTATAGCAAGTTATCCCATTAATTATGCATTCACATTAAAATTAACTCTCTAAATATTACACTTAAGTCAAGTTAGTATTAAACATTTGCTATTACATAATCTATAAAGTGGCTAAGCTCCATATGGATAAGAGTTGGCTTTGCCTATCAGCTCAACCACTTAATAGCTAGCTAAAATTTGGCAAAGGAGTTCTAATGGTGTGTAGTACTTTACATGCTGGGCTGCTGACTGAAAGGTAGGCAATTCAGTCCATCAGCTTTTCTTGGGAGTAATATGAGCAATCTCCTCCTATAAAAGCAGCATTAGAAACCCACTGGAGGGTCAGAATCATCACCCCTGGCTGTGGAAGGTGGGCTAACCTTTTGCAAGTTAATCTCCCTGTTGCTTTTGTTTTCTTATGTGTAAAATGGGTATAATAGTAAACACCAATCTCATCATATCGACCCTCTATCAGGTTGCCAAGCCTGTAAGTCATAATTTGAGGAAGCTTCCTCAAATCAAGTAGTTTGGTGAATTCAACCCACCAGCCTTTCAGTTAACATCCTGACATGTTATTATGGCATTAGGGCTCCTTCCATAAGGTTATTAGGAATATTACATGAGTTAATAAACGCAAGACACTTAGAACAATGTTGTCACTTGATCTCTATTTAGTAGTATCAGCTGTATCATTTTTATGATTGTCACCAAGTATAAATACCTTGTTTGTGCTTCACTCTTTTCAAACCCTTGCTAAACACTAGGGGACCTCAATGGCAAGTTTTTTGTCAAAGAATTCTTTCTAAGGCAGGAGGCAAGCTTGAAGCTTTGGGACCCTAACAGTGACCCACATCCAAAGCTCACCAGAGTCCCAGAGGTTGCCCTGGCAGAGCTCTGAGGTTTCCCCAGGGCCAGAAGACAAATTCCCCATCTTCAGAAAGGTAGAAACCACCAGCAGTCATCCCCTAACAGCAACGCCAGCTACAGCGGAGCCGCTCAATGAAGCACAGCTCACTGAGCCACTGCAGAGATGCCTCTGCAGGACTCTCCTGTGAAGTAGGAGTCATTTAGGGGAGACTGCATCAGTCAGCCTGGAAGCTGTGGGCCAAGCTACTAGTATCAGAGGGCTAGGTGGGAACTGACCATGCAAAGATACACGCTCTTTCCTTATGGGATTCTACACTCTCCAGCCCCCTCATCCACTGCCATAGAACTCGTCCCTGGAAGAGAAGCAAAAGCAGGATTCTTATTTCATAGGAACTTGAATAAATGAGGGTCACAACCTCAAACCCGAATAAACCTCAATGGCTCTTTTCAAAAGTTTTGTCCACAACTAGATGAAGGATTGGCTGTGCTGAGAGGCAGTCCCAGATTCCTCTTTATTAAAAGGCTAAGTTTTTCCTGTTCCTATTCGAAGAAAAGTAGAATGTCTGTACCTACAGGTGCCTTCCCTCAAGTATATGAGCAACAGCAGGGAGACCCTATTCTAGTCCTCAGCACCTGCGCTTTGCCCAGAGTGAGCACTACAGCCAGGAGGGCATATGGTACCTGCACAGCTTCTCTCTGGTGGGCCAAAGAGGTGGGGGTTAAGAGGAATGACAGTTTGCGTTAAAAATTGAGATTCTGCAACAACAAGAAAAATAAGAGCATCTAGATCAGCTTGATTTATCTCATGAAAAGCCCCTTCTTGTTCTTCCCAGCCAAATCAATACCTCGCAGAGCCTCTCTGCAAAATGCTGGGCTCAAACGGTATGTGTGCAAGTGTGTGAATGAACGTACTGACTACTGACAATGGCTGATCAACAACGATCAGATGGGAGTAGAAAATAACTTGGACTTCACAGCGCCTGAGCAGTGCCTAATTCCCTTACAGTATCCTCCTTCCTTCCTCACTGTGGTACTCCAAACAAAACAAACCAAACCAAACCCAACTCCTGAGCAGAAAGGGAGCAGCAGCAGCGGCTGAACCGAGCAGCACATGCTTTACGCGTTCGTGCCACCGACTTCTGATTATTTCTGCTTTCTTGAGAAGCAGCCATCAGCATGGGACCAAACACAGTCCTAAAGAGAAACCTCCGGTACAGCGACACTCACAGACCCTTTTGTGGACAAATGCAGCCCCGCATGTGCGCCTGAGCCTGTGTGAAATATGCAGACGCTCGGGCAAGGCTCTGCCACATGTGACCCTAAACACTGAGAGATTCCTTCCTTCTCTAATTGCTCGGCCTTCCAAAGTCTTGCCTACATCTCGTACGTGCAGACAGAAGTCAGTTAGATATGAATACGTGCTATAAGGGCAGAAATGGAAATGACTGAAAGCTCATTTTTCTTGTAACCATCTCCTCTCCTCGACACATTGCGCGCATACACACAGTGAGTATTCAGATCCGTTCCGTAAACAGAAATACCCACCACGTTCAACCCACAGTCACGCGTGGGGAGATAGAAGTCGCGAAGGCGGCAGTGACAGGGGGAAGTGGAAAGTCGTCTGGCGGCGTGGGCTGTCCTCTGAAAGGCGAGATCTCCCCCACTCCCCGCTCAGAAGCGGTGCCCACTCGAGCCCCAAGGGGGCCAACCCACTCGATGGGTGCGCAGGGGGCTCCCAGAGACGAGAACCGGACAATGCAGACGCAGCGACCAGCCTGGTTTCTGCCTCCGCCGAGGTGGTGGCAATAGGAGCCGCCTTTGCACCCGCTGCCACCTCCACCCTCTTCTCCCTGCTTCCCACTTACGTTCCGAGGGTCTCCTTGAACTCGAAAATTTTCTTGATGTCTTCAGCTTGCTTTTTCCAGGAGGAGCTGCTCTCGCCGTTCTCCCGGGCCATGGCAGACCAGTGCGGCGTGTGCGGAGCGCGGCGAGGTGGCGGGGCCGCGGGGGCCGGAGGTGGGGGCGCTGGGGAGGGGTCGCCGGGGGACTGGAGCGCGGGGGGCGGCGGCCCGGAGCGCCGAGGTGGCGCGAGCAGGTTGGGGAAGGATGGGGCGGGCTGCGCGGGGATGCTCGGCGAGGCAGCCAGAGGCGGACTTAGTGCTGCGGCAGAGCTTCCTCTTCTGCAGTTTCCTCTTTCACTCTCTCGCCGCCGCCGCGGTCCCTCCCTGGCTCTTATTTCTGCTCGTTTCTGGCACAGACTTCCTGCCGCCGCTGCTGCTGCCGCGGGCTCTGCCACCGCCGCTTGAAGGGCTCCCTTGCCGCCTGCTGCAAACCTCACTTTCTGCTACTTTCTTTCCTCCCTCCCTCCTCCCCCTCCCCCTCCTACTCCCCCGGGCTCCCCGCCCTCCCCGAGCGAGCGCCCCACCGCCTCCCCGCCTCCTGCGCTGCCGCCTTCGGGGATGTCCTGCTTCGGGAGCGCCGTGCCCCGGGCGCGGAGGGCACCCTCTGTCTGCAGCCCCACGAGGCTCCCCGGCCACGACACGGACCCCTCGTCCACCCCAAAGTCCAGGAGAGGGCAGGTGCGGAAACCCGGACAGGTGCAGGGCGCCCAAGCACACCCGGGAGACTCCTGGCCCCGTGGGTAGCTTTATTAATTCTGCAAAGTCAAGTCTGGGGGATGTGAGGGCTTTCCTCGCTCGCAGCCGGAGGGGGCGCCCCTTGCGAGCCGCCTGGGAGCAGGGGTGGGGAGGCGGGGAGGGAGCGTCCGCGCCACCGCGGGGCGCCGTGGGCGGGGGCCCCGAGCCGACGCCGCGCGTCCCGGGCTACCACCGTGCGGTTGGTCCGTAGCCGCGCGGGATCCTCGTGAGCCGACCGCGCGGGGGCCGGTTGTTATGGAAATGGGAGGCGGCAGCGCAGATGAAGGCGGAGGTGGGCGTTGACTCAGAGTCGGCGGGATTCGCCTGCGGCTGGCGCTCCGCGAACCTGCGGGTCCCCCTCCTGACTCCGTGACTGAAGCTAATTCGCATTGCACCAAAATCCGCACTCCCGTCAAATTGTGGACGGGGGTGGTGAGCGAAGAAGACGGTAGTACAGGAAAATGCCTAGAAACCTCGGGAGTTGGGAACGCGCAGGACGTGCCTAGCAGTGCCTTTCCCTCTTCCCCCATGGGGACAAAAACTCTCGAGGTTAATTGCTGCCCGGGGTGGCAGGTGAATTCCCGAACGGCTCAGAGAAGGCACCGCGACTGGGGCTGCCCTGGAGCCTAGTGCAACTACGGGGGCGCCCGTGGGCCTGGGCCGGCCTTGGATCGTGCTGGATTCTCTGGTTTTTCCCAGCGTCTGTCTCCTCCCCAAGCTCTGGCGGCCTCGGATGACATGCAGAGACTTTGAAAGTGAACGTCTGCGCGTAGTCCACTGCCTGCCGCCCCCCACCATCCTCACAGGAGCTGCCTCTGAGTCCCACCCCGGGCAAGGGAGTGTGCTTAGTTTTATTTTATGGTTAGGGGCCTGGAAATATTCTATCCTACAGCTTGGACAAACTAGCAAGAATTCCGTCGGGTTGCGCATCTCTGAGGTGCATCTTTAGCTGACCCACCCCTCTTCTAATGTCCACCTTATTTTGGTCAGAAATGTTTTGCTTTCTTTGAGTCCACACTGCCCCTGCCTTAGAGTCCTGCCTCTGAGTTGAGTAAACAGCCCTGTTTCTTGATTGGTGACACCTGTCCCCCTTTACCAGGATTGTTCTGATTTCTCTAGGTGTTTGTTTTGTTTTGCTTTCCTTTTTTTTTTTAAAAAAAAAAAAGCTACTCCCTAAGAGGAAAACGTAAGGCTAGGCGCTGATCAGACTATGTAAGAAACTGAGTAATCTGGTGTGAAAAACTATGCATACAACTTTATAAATAAACCAGTACAAAGTTTGAAAGAGGGGGGAGGAATGATGGATGAGGGCTCTCCTGGAAGTAGTCTGGACCTAATCCCCTGCCCCTCCCATAATCCCTCTGCTCTTCATGCTGGTCTCCATCTTTCGAAGACTGTTAGCTTCATCTTGCTTGGATTCACAGTTAACACCCTTGGTACCAGCAGTCAGGAAATAAGGAGATGCACTGCCATTTAGGTAAGACTTCTCCAAATTATTGAGGAGTAATAATGTCAGTTTGAGGACTAAGGTGCATCTATCTGATTCAGGTCATAGTCTTTCTGTTTACTTGTTATGCATTTGAGAGCTGGAAAAATAAATAAGGATGACAGAAAAAGAATTGATGCCTTTGACTTGTGGTGTTAGAGAAAAGCACTGAACATTCCATGGACAGCCAAGAGAACAGATATGTCTTGGAGAGGGTGTAGCCGGAATGCTCCTTGGAGTCAGGAATGATGAAGCTTCACCTCACATACTTTGGGCATGTTGCTAGGAGGTGCTGTTCCTTGGAGAGGGACATGATGCTGAGAAGGATGGAGGGGCATCATAGGAGAGGGAGACCCTCAACCAAGTGGATTGACACAGTGCAATGGGCTCTTGTCAGGAAATGTGAGTATGCCACAGGATAGAACAGGGTTCAGATCTTTTGTTCATAGGGTCACTATGAGTCATACTTAATGCTACCTAACAACAACATTAACATTAGCTTAAAGCTCTCTAAATTGAAAAGAGCTGACTGGAAATTATTTGGCTGTTAGAAACACCAGCCAAATCAACTCCAACTTCCACACTTTAACTTTTGCCTAAATATCTGCCTCCAGAGCTCACCAACGCTGTTCTCAGTCTCAGCCTTTGTCATCCAGAGCTTAAAGTAAGTAAAGGTGAAAAGAAAGCAGAGGGGAAAATTGTACCTTACTGTCTGATCACATCTGTAAGCTCCCCTAGCTTGGCAGTAAAGCCCCAAGTCAAGAAACATGTTCTTTTTTCTCACCACTGTATCCCCAGCATGTAGCATGATAAGTTACTTACACATGGTAAATGATAAGTAAATATGTGTTGAAAGGACACAGAGATGAAATAGAATTAAGACAGCTATTTGATACTACTTGTACTAGTGGAAATACTATAGGGAGCTTGCTTGCTTTCTGTAATGAGGTTTACTAATTATTAAGTTCTTCTCAGCTAGATGAGGTCTTTAAGAAAAGGTACAGACTTTTAATGGGAAGAGTGGAGGAGCTGAGGCAGAAGGATAAATCCCCATCACCCCAGAACCTAACTTTATTACATTCTTATCTGACTTATGGGATACCAGGTAAATAAAGGATAATGATCATGGAAACTTCATCAAAGATTAAGTCCACTTTCTATAGAAGTTAAGTTTTAACACTGTAGTCTTTGTATTTTGTTTGCACTGGGGGCTTGGACAACTTTTCAAGTATCTGGCCATTTTCTCCAGCTTGCCCATCTTTATCCCACAGAGCAATTGATAGGAACTTCCTACTTACTAGGCCACCAGAACTCACTTTCAATCCTGTACTGGTCAAATGGTGTGAGCAGAAAGAAATACTAGCTAAATCATATACAGGTGGTTTGAATCCACAACCTTCTTGTTTATCAGGAGAAAGATAAACAATATCCTTCTGGGAGATTTAAAGCCTCTGAAAACCCACTGAGGGTCAGCTTTGCATTGCAACCCACTATTTGCATCACCCAAGGTCTTGTGCACTGTAATGGCACCAAAGAAAAAAGCATAATTAAATCACAGACTTTGTAATCATAAAATTAAAAAATCATGCATAACTTCCACCTTTACCACAAACTAGATTGTCAGAATGATAAATTGGAGAGGGGGATGTAGAGTTTCTGGTCTCTAGTCAAAGAAGTTAAAACTGAAAGAATTCTTAGTCACACTATGTGTCATAAAGAACCCAAGAATGATCCAACAAGAATGGCATCGTATGAAAACGAATTTTAAAATTTTTAAAACAGAAGAATTTCAGCCAGCTTGGAACATGACTAAGGCTCCCTCCTTAACCTGAACCACTTGCAAATATCTCCTCATGAAAAAAACACAAACCAAACCCAAAATGTCATCTAACTCAAAGATAATGAAAAATCAATACAAGACTAGCACAAAAATCTTTACAGGGATCCTCTAGTTTAAAAAAAATAAAAGATGAAGAAATGAAAAATAAATAGCAGACTAATCAAGCTAAGGAGAAATGCTGTAGAATAGATTAAACATTTTCATAAAACAAGATTTCCCTCCCCCCAGTGTCCTTTTTTAATTTTATATAAATCAATATAAATCAACATAAAAATTCATACACATTGTATTTCATAAGTACTTCTAAACATGTTATATAAATCAAGACATTACAGCAATGATGCAGGAGCTCAGGGAATACAGGTCAGGACAAAAGAAAGATTTAAACCGGGAGCTGAAAGGGAGTTCTGGTGGCCTAGTGCTAAGAAGTTATGCTGCAGTGTTAAAACAGGAGCTGGAAAAGCTCAGGAAAAAAATAAAACACATAAATACCACATGGACAGTAACATAAGGGTTAACTGAAGCTTTTAAGAGGTATGAAGGACAAAACAAGAATACTGAGGAAACTAAAATAGAAATAAACGAAGATTAGCAAGAAAAGGAAATGCAAGAGAAAGGAAGTTCAGTATGTACATAAATGCTTCCACTATGAGGGGGCGAAAATCAAGGAACAGAAAAAATATTTAAAGATATTATTCAAGAAAACTTTCTTGAAAGCTTTCTGTTTAGTCTGCAGACTGTCACACTACGTATCAGAAAAAATATGGCACTGTGTGACCATACCAAGAGATGTACTAATAAAGCTACTTTTCTATGAAGATAAATAATCCTTCAATATTCCAGGGAGCGGAGGTGGAGGAGGAGGAGGATATCAAGTCACGTAATCACATGTTCTGGGAAAAATTATTTATGTTAGAGACTTCTCAATAACTAGACTATAAAGATTAAAAAAAAAGAACATGTGATGTTAGAACTTCATAAGACAGCTAACTGGA